CGGATCTTGGGTAATCGCTCGAAATGCTTACGTCTGTTTCCGGTTATTTTTATTTTGAAATTCAGTTCCTGACGGACGCCAAAAAAAACAGAGATTATGGAATTAAACAAATAAATAAAAACAAGCATAATTGTGTGTTATTGGTGAGTAAATAACAGTGTGTTATTTTGAAAAGAATAACAAATTAGAAGGAAAAAAAGATTTACATATATACAGATTTCAGTATCCTGAGGCTCTCAGCCCCATTTATTTTCCTCACAGAAGGCAACAAAAGTCCGAAATTATACGATTTAAAATAAAAGCAATAATTGTGGCTTGATATTGAGTAAGAACATGCTTTTATGAACCGCACAGCTTCCGGTCTTCCTATAACACGTAATGTCGTGAGACTACCAATAGAAATACATAGCTTTTAAAATCGTGCTGTGCAACACGAAAAAAAGGGGAAAATCGTGTTGGTGAACACGAATCAATAGATTAAAAATCGTGTTGGTGAACACGAAATGCCGTGAGACTGGGTTGTAACTTTGGTGTAAGTTATCTCAGTGGGTCTCAAACGGTTTGGTCACCAGTTATATAAACAAGTATTTGCGAGGAACACCTTTATATGATCATTATGGTTATTAAAAAATAAGAGAATAAATGAAAAACAGGTATGAAATACTATAGGACAGTAACACAAGAATACAGTTTAAAAGGAGAGTGATTAGTAAAATATCCATAAAGAAAAAGTCAATCTGTTTACAGTTCTGTTTCATATGGATTCTAAGAGATGTATCCATAGACCTCTTAATTTCTTTTTTCAAAGTGGAAAAATCTTCCCGGGGGATCATGCCCCCGGACCCCCTAGAGGAGGTTAGGTCCACCCCCCACCTAAAACATGTTCACATGGATAGGATACTAAATACATTTGCACACTTTTTATATGGTGGCCTATGTCCATATGTTTCTGTTTTGGTGGTCGCACCACAACCGTGCATGTGTGCACAAGTTATAGGTGCGCTAGAAAATAGCACTACACTGCAATATGTGTGAAAGACAATAGACTTTACAGCATGTTTTTTTTAATTGAAGTTGCGTTGGTTTTTGTGTGTTGGTTGTTGACGGCAGTCGACCCATTAGTAGAGGTTGTCATATATATCAGAGCTTATCTCTGAGTGAGGCATTGCCTCCACACAGCTCCGACATGGTGAAGCTTACCATGCTTAGAGCACGTTAAACCTATATTGTTGTCTAGGCAACACAGCATTGACTTTTTGTTTCATATGGGACCAAACACCCGTCTCTTGGAAAGTCTGACCAACCTATCCATCTCAATGTCCTTCAAAAACAGACTTCCACACACTGATAAGAACTGTTTCTATGGTAGGCTACTTCAAAAAGTATGAACCAGGATGCATAGACACATGCACTAAAGGATGATACACTAAATGGACCAGTGTGAACATCTAACATACAGTTTATTCATCCCATGCATTTCCATTACAAACAAGACAAAGATAAACAACAATAAACAATAAACTGTTACACCAGTCAAAGAGCCTTTCTATCTGAATGATAACATATTTGGTCAAAGACGCACTTCAACTGTTTCTCTCCAATGTACAAGTGGTTAGAAGAGTTCAAAGAAATTACCAAAAGCCAGTGCTGTGTGGTGTAATGTGGGTTCTGGGAGTGGTTAATACACAAGTAGAACGTCCAAAACGTATGATTACCAAGGTTTCTGTGAAATAAAAAATACTTTGCAAATATTATTCCTAATGTTTGTTCTTGTTACAAAAGGAGCATGGATATGCATATGGATATAAACACCCTCACGCAAGTTTGTTTCCTTCAACAATGGCTTTAAAAGGAAAGTGTATGTTTCTGTGTGGCACACGTTTAGTTAATGTGAATATGCCAACTATTGCTTGCTGTGTCAGCGCTGGAAGGAAGACTCATTTTGTGCCATGTGCACTACTTGATGCTTTGGTCAATAGGTCAGCGTGGCGAGTTTGATGGAAACTTCTGAAGCAATGGAGACGAGACTCAGAGAGACACGGGGAGAGCTGGAACTTTGATGGCAAACACTGATGGTTTATTAGGGAGTTACGGCTGGAGAATTCACAAGACATGAGCTGCCGCCACGAGGTGAAACAGCTGTTGCCAAACCAATTCTGAAGATCTCTACCCAAGACCCATGTATTTAGCTAGTTCTGAGAGAATAATCAACATTGTGCCAGATAAGATAAAACAGGCAAAAGCACTATAACACCTATATCAGCTGACGCCAACAGGCAGGAACAGGGAGACAAAACACTGAGAGCACAGCAGTCTAAGGTTGTGCTCAGTGAGGGCAGTACAAACTGATAAATTGGGTCAAAGGTATGGGCCTAGGAAAATATTTCCCTAACAGCGAGGATGGAAATGGTCAGACGAACTTTCTCCAGTCAATCTGGGAGTGAGTCTTGGGAGGAACAGCTTTCTAGATCGCAGGCCGAAAAGTAAGTATCCATGATAGTGTCAAAATAAAAAATGTCAACAATGTAGCATTAGAATTGAGCTATGAAAGGCTGTGGTGTTATGTCTTTCTTGAAAAGGCCTCTCACATGGAGAAAACACTGTTACATATAATAGATATTCCAGCTATGTTTCAAATGGCTGGGCAATGGCTGCTTAGTTATAGTTTATGTGGCTACATCTGATTTATTAGGCTACAAAGACAACAAAATATGAAGTGGCTTGTTTTCATAAACCGCTAATAAAAATGTGAAAATATTCAAATAAATCATAACAACTATGGTTGTCTTTCATGATGTCTTTGTCTTTGTCTGCTCATATACAAGAACAGCTCATACAATGTAACAATTAAAACAGGTAAGTTGACCAGGTTTGTGTTCAATAGTTGGTACTTATCGTGTAATCTTTACAAGCTAAGAATGAAAACTTATAAACTAAACATTTTCTTTGAATTGAAAAAGGAAGATTAACAGGCAGAAGAGAAAATGTGTCCGTGACAGCATTTGGGAGAAGAGAGGGATAGGAGTGAAGACAATCAATTCAAAACTGTGAAAAAATTGTTCAGGCCACTTGGAGGGTGAACAGTGATTCAAAGAGTGAGAAAGGACAGCTCAATGCGGTTACATAAACAGCTCAAACCTCAGATACGACACAATGCACAAGCAGAGTGCTATTAAAAAAAATGCAGAAAACGAGGATTATGTTAAAGGAAAGGTTTGACATTTTGGAAAAAATGCTACACTCTCATAATAGTACAGCCAGAAGCTTGTAAGCATAAAAGCAAGGCAAATTACAATCGTAACTCTGTCCACTGGTGACAAAAATTGCTCATCTCAAGAATGATTGCATTGCTCAAAATAGTTCCTCATGTTTAGATATAATATTCAGAAAAAAAAGATATAATTTTCAGAAAAAAGCAACTAAATATATGCCTTACATTTAAAATAGCAGTGGTTGGTGTAATTTACCACAGTACAACTCTAATCTTCACTTGTATTCATGATTAGCCTTGGTCTCTTTGATATTTTAAGAAATTAATCACCGTTACTACAGTGAAGGATCATTAGTATGATTGAAGTTGACTAACAGAATCTCAGAGACTGACTAACGTTAAAGTTGATAAGAAGAGCGATACCACTGATGTACGAACTGCAAGGGCAAGGGGGTAGTTAGGTTAGCTTAGCAATAAAGCTAGAAGCAGATACTGTTGCTTCAGATCACTCCAAAGACAAAAAGCTCACAAATAAACAAGATATACATAATTTATTCCATTTGCTTCTAGTAGTCATGCTAAGCTAAGCTAACAGTCGACTGGCCCAAACTTCATAATTAGCAAACATACTGTACATGACATTCGAAGGCTGTGTAGCGCTAAGATTCTCTTAAAAGCCACTTACAGTATGACAACTATTTTTATAGTAATAGTGATTCAATTAGGTTAACCTCAATAACACGTTCAGAAAGTATGATACAAAAGTAGAAATAAGCACAGGTCTTATGCTAAGAGAAATTAGCTTATTTTGTCATTCTGTCCAAATGTCTTTGAATCTCGTTCTGCATTGCAAGATGGATACTTTGTTTTACTTTTAAATCTTTAACAATCAGGGCTTGTTTTGTTTTTTATAAAACCTTCTGAAGATGAAGGTCCTTCAGCTTTGATCAATTAAAACCCAAACCACAATTGGTGTGCTGCATTGTGGGGACATTTGGCCGGATGCATGCAGCCAGGTCAGGAGTCTGAGGGTCTGGGGGTTGAGCCAAAGTGCAAAAGGGGGTAAACAGTGCGCAAGAACAGGGACAATAGTTAGCACACTCACTGAGAACTGGAAGGATGAGCCCTGTACCTGTCTGCGTCCAGCCCCTCCCAGTAGGGTTCAACACTTGGAATGAGGCTAATTGGACTCCTGTAGAAGTGGGGAGATCAGACAGTAAGAAGGTAGGAGAGTATGGAGGTTAACAGGAAGCTTGTCAACGAGAGGTATGTCTGAAACAGCAACAGTAAATATCTTGTGGCTTGGTCAAGACAGAAATGGAAAGAGAAATTAGTAAATCATAAAGATTATCTGAGAACAACATTATCCGAGAAAAAATATTGAGGACAAGAAAGGCAATTGAGCAAAGTTAAGATAAAGGCAAGAGAGAGGAAAGTAGAGATTGTTCTAATGAGGTAAATGGCCATAAATCCCCCTAGTCAGTGGTCTTGTCTTTTTTCCCTCCACTAACCCAGGAAATTAGAAGAGGGTCAAAGCAGGGTGTAATCGATATTCAATAATCTATACGTCACTTGGGGACTTTTTTCAGGCTTGAGTGAGGTAAAGAGTATTAGGATGGTGTGTGGGATTGATTAAAGATACAGTATGTGAGTGTGTCCATGTTGATATTAAGAAACATGACACTCAGTGAAACCTTGTGGCTTATTGATGTCTGTTTAATGGACAACAATAGAGAACTAAGGCACAGAGGAAGAAGATTACATTACTTGTCAGTCACTTATGGATTTGGTCTTTAAATGTTATTCCTTGACAACGGGAAAATAATACCAACAGACCTATCGCTTATCCAAATTGTTAAACTAGTTTATACAAATGTATGAAATGTACAATTAAATGAATGTTTGCTTATTTTTGGATACCAGCAGTTGATAAAACTGAAGTCTTCAAGGATATACCATTTATAACAGCATCTAGTATTCCGTAATTTAAAGACAACCATTACAGGCAAGAGTCCTTCTGAAACACTTCCTCAGGATGATCATATATCTCACTCAGGCCTTACTCGCCTGAGGATAACAGAGCATGGCGGACATTTCCACTTGTCTAATGCAGTTGTAATAAAATGATGGATACTTTCTATTCAGGTGTTCCGAGGCCTATTATAACTACAATTAATGTTATTAGATCCACATGTGCTGTTGCTGCTATCACATGTCAAAATGTCGGCTGTGTATGGATGGAACTTTTGCCATCTGCAATCTTGCGGTCATTACCTTCACAGCAGTGTACGGCAATGTTTCACACAGAGACTATAAACTGTACGGCTGAATTCACAACGGATTAGATCTAATAAATAATAAGATCTCAGTTACATTTATATTTCCCTTTGTTTATCATTTATTTGATATCTTAAATAGGAGAAATACCTTTGGCAAATGTGACTTTTTTCTAAATGAAATGATAATTTCTTTGTTGTTTGAGTATGTGTACCCAAAAGTCAAGTTGCAGTTTACATCCATGTCCTTCCAAAACATTATCCCTTCATCATTTTATTCTATTAGACATTTGCCTGAGATCGTCATTATTAGCATAAGAATTGATAAGTTATGGCCAAAAAGGTTTTTAGTGAGGTAACATTGTGCCGAAAATAAATCCTATTCTCTTAATTTGTTTCAGAAATGTTTAAATAACGAATATCGGACTGTCTAACCGGCCATAGACTGTATAAAAAGTGGATGAAGACTGAGACGTATGTGGTGCGGGCAGGATTCTATTTTTCAGGCAAATATTTATTTTATGGCCTGCTGTGCGATTAAAACAGACTGTCAAAAATGAGGCTGTCCGATGGTTTTGGTGTATTCAGCCAGCTAACACTATATCTACGTCTAATACTGATTCACCTGAAAAAGTAAACATACAGCCCAGCCCTAGCCTGTAGAAGACCTCAGTCTACAACGCCAAAAACTAATGGTAGTAACTAATATTCAGATTTGAATTTGAGATCTATCATTTCTAGTAAAAATTTAAGCCAAAACCAGTACAATTTATTGAAACGAGAAGCAGTAGATATTAATGATGAACTCTAAAAACATTTTTTACAAAAGGACATAAAAAACAAAAAGATGGACAGTATTTTACACTTTAAAATGTATAAGTAAAGACACGTAGTCGCATGAAATGACAAACTGGACCTCAGTGCACTCAAATGATTCACACTGTGAATAATGTTGAAATATAAATAAGATTAATACATGCTTTTAAAAATAAAAATAAAAAAAGTTATAAAAGGTGGCTCAGTTTTTCATGTTGACAATAACTTTAACCATAACACTAATATGTCCAATGGAATCAGCACCTCAAAATAAAGACAACAGTGTTTGAATATATTTTAGTTTGTTTCCTTTTCACTTGTCTAAACTAAGGTAGCAGGACTCCCGTAGAGTTTATTGCTGTGTGTAGCCGGCCTGTTGGAGACACAGGTGGCCATGACTTGAGGACCTGAACTGAAAATAAATCAAATAAATTGTAATAAATATAATTACATCATAAGTGTTTTATTTGTATTCTTAACATTCATATTCAAGATCATTTCACACAGAGCTGTATATTATAGTAGACATTAATTATAGTCCCCAGCAGACCACTGTAAATGCCTAAATTTTAACCATAAATATGCAACCCAGTCTCACGGTATTTCGTGTTATAGTCACAACATTTAATCTATTGATTTGTGTTCACCAACACGATTTTCCCCTCTTTTTTTTTCGTGTCACACAGAACGATTTTAAAAGCAATGCATTTCTATTGGTAGTATGTTTCATGCCGTCTTTGTGGGTCTTGGAAGACCGGAAGCTGTGCAGTTCATAACAATATTTTCTTTCTCAATATCAAGCCACGATTATTGTTTTTATCTTAAATTGTATAATGTCTGACTTTTTTTGCCGTCCGTGAGGAAAATAAATGGGGCTCAGAGCCTCAGAATACTGAAATATGTATTTTTAAAATATTTTTTCCTTCTAATTTATTATTCTTTTCCTAATAAGACACTGTTATTTACTCAACAATAACACACAATTATCCTTGTTTTCATTTATTTGTTTAATTCTTTTTTGCCGTCCGTCAGGAACTGAATTTCAAAATAAAGTCACCGGAAACAGAGGTAGGCGATACACACCCACTGAACTGATTACCCAAGATCCTCAGCTTTGGTTGAAGCTCGATGTTTTAGCCGCAATGCACGTTGGGATATGGTGTTTATGCGATATGAAATCCAAAAACATTTTAAAAAAGAAAGAAAATAATACTTTAATCCGAGTGTGCTTGCTTTTCTCTTTGAAAGTCATCACATAACGGCATTGTAATACACGGTTTGGCTGCATTACATATTACACATCTGCCGTAGCTCTCTATTTATAGAGCCCTTATTAGAAGACCTCTGGACAAACTGGAAGAAATGCCACCGAAACGGAATACGTGACGTGGATCATAAATATATCAGCAAATATACAACATCTTCAATTTCTCTTCACACAATACGTCTCCCTGCAGTATCAACACTAATTCGGCTGACTTTTATATTTGACCCAATTGGTCAACCCAGTCTCACAGCATTTTGTGTTATAGTCAACATTTAATCTATTGATTCGTGTTCACCAACACGATTTTCCCCTTTTTTTCGTGTCACACAGAGCGATTTTAAAAGCAATGTATTGTATTACCCAAGATCCTCAGCTATGGTTTAAGCTCGCTGATTGGATGTTTTAGCCGCAATGCACGTAGGGATATGGTGTTAATGCGATAGGATGGCCCATAAATGTTCTATGGGACGTCTCTACTGAGCGTTTTCGTTTTTCCCACAATTAGAAGTTGCCAGTATTAAACAGATTGGTGTTATCAAATGTAAAACATATAATTAATAAATGGGTGAAAATCAATTGTGTCCATAATGTGCAGCATTAATATACAGCTCATTGCTACTTTGTAATTCTACTCCACTACAATTCAGAGGTTAAAGACCAACTTGCAGGGTTTTTTTTTACTACATTTATGCTTAACCTTGCCTGAAAATTACAATTAAAAAAGTGAATGCAGGATTTGATATGTTTTACAAGACATAAGGGCAGGAATTCAGAGGGAAAGGAGCCGTTTTGAGCTCTGCTACTAAAAATAGCTTTTTTTTAACGTCAAACGCGTCATATTACGTCACATGGGGGAGCAACTTTCTCGGACTCCTTCTCTGCCCAATCCGCGGTAGTAGTTTGTAGTTGGTTTGA